AAAAGTCAATCGATGGCGCTTGTTCGTCAATAACTGGGTCGATTTGTGAATTTAAGTTCTCTGTGACACAAAAATCTTGCGAGAAGCCTTAGACGCTCAAACCTGAATTATAAGAAACAAATAAATTATTTAAACGAAAACTGAGAAATATTTTTGTGCTGAGTAAACCTTTTGCTGTTCATTAGCAGAAAATATACTTTCATTTATGTCAAAAGTTATACCAATAATGTAAACAAGTTTTTCATTACAGTGACCTGTAATCGAAGACTTATCTCCCGATAACTGTTTACTCTTCAATTTTTTGTTCTTTAACCAAAATAAATTGAAGCAAACAAACAGTAAAACTGAATGTTTTACAAAATATTTATTCAAGTTGAAGCTGTTAAGGTAAAAAAAGTAACACGCACTTGTCTAAACATTGCAATGATCAAGCTTGTGTGAATGGAGATAGGTGTTAAGGGCTTTTTGTCAGTCACGTTAAAGTAGCTCATGTTCAGATGGTGGTGGTGTCAGGAAATACTGATGGACAACCTCTTTAATCATATCTATATTTCCGGCATCCAATGGCTTCCTGTTTCCTACTCCATGGACATTGCGGCCATTGAGCTCAGAAGGCTCAAACACATGCCGCACTAGTAGTGCGGCAAAGTTCTTTGCTGAGGTTGCCTTTGATTGGAGTGCCAGGATTTCATCTGTGCCAAACAGATTAACTGTGAACGATGTTACATCAAGTGCTTCATCTGTTTCTGGAGAAGGTGCACATGCTTCCATCACAGTAGGGACTGTGCATAGAATAATGTGGAAGGTTTTGATGACTAATGTCTCCCCAGTGCTACACAGAATGGAAATAATTATGGTTGTTCATATGCTTGAAGATTTTCTGAGGGTCTGTTTGATCTTTGCAGTGTCTTCCCTTGTGGCAGGCTGTTTTGTTCCAGGTGATGAGGTCTACATCACTGTAGCCACTTTTCGTTGAACAGACTACAAGAAACTGCTCTCTTGTAAACTGGACTTGTACTATTTACCAGGCCTGCCAGAACCAAGTGTATAAATGGTGATGGTGGATTCGGAGATAGCCTTCCCTTTTTTATGAAGGTGATGGTGCATGAACAGAGTGCACTGATGGTGGTCCTGTTAAATGTGAGGTGGGTTCTCGCACTGAAGGTAGGCCAGCCAGTTTTATGAAAGATACTGTTCTGTGGAAGGTATAGTGAGTGCTGTTCAAGGTTTATACAGTGAAATCAGGAAGTGTTAAAGATAATTAGCCCTTTACACTCTCTACTCAAACTTAGATGTTGTAGACAGTATCAACCTTACATTTTGAGATCGCCTTTTTGCAACTTCCAAATATTGTCAATTGAGTAGTATCGACTCCTGCTCTAAATTAAACAAGCCCTCTTTGCTGTCGAAATTGTGGATATAGGAAAAAAACAATAAACCATTATTATTATGGTGAATGTTGATGTGAATAATAGTTCAAGGGTTGCACCTTAGTTGATTTGTTAAGTTTCAAATTTTACCAATTAGTTTAGAGAAACCAAATGAGTCATGTTTAATTCGAGTGGTGATGGATGATAATGGGTGTTTCGATATCTAGAAGAAGAAGAAGAAGACCTTTATTTATTCAGGGTAGCCCATTCAGATGCCTTAAGCACTGCTATCAATTGGGGCCCTAATAAAAATTAAAATGATTAGAACTACACAATCATGCTAAAATACTACTTTTACATGTCAACCCTAGGAAAAGTCTTAAAATATGGGCTATATACAGCTAAAGTGAAAATGTATAAAATCTTAAAACAGTAAAAGTTTAGCCTACTAAAAATTACAGAACCATTATAATAAAAATAGTTTTTAGCTGAGTCAGTTCTAACCCTGGGCAAGTGTGACATGTTCAATTGCCTTGTAATTCGATTGTGGACAGAACTGTTAAAAACGAAATAGTTTTCAAAAAATTGTGGACAATCTCCTTTAATATCTGTCTCATTACAAATAAAAGGAACAAGGTAACAAATGAACCGGCAGTCAATTTGCTGTGGATCATCTACCTTGTCTGTTCAGGGATTTGGATTTCACCGTCAAAGTGTTCATATGTATTGGTTTGTATTGCAATGAGATAAAGTTGCTGAAACTTAAAATATACGATTACTATTCCTTAAAATGACAGTTTATTTTCCGCTTTAAGAAGCTTCATCACTACTCTAAAGAGCTTTCCTTGATCCTTGCTATTTTCTTCCATGAATTTCGTGTAAAACTTGTGCCTTGTTTTATTCATCATATTAGTTGTACTTGTTGGTAAGGGGCAACAAGAGAATTGAGGTAGTAAATAAGAATCAATTGAGTTTTGTCATATTTATTTGGGATACTTTTAGTATAACAGGTGTTAAAATTGATATCTTTTAGTTAAAATTTCAAATTATTGCTGTAATTGAACTCAACATTGTTTATTTTTCAACCCAGTGAGTGAACAAAATGCTCGATTTTGCATTTTTGAAAATCATACTTGTTATACTTCAAGTATAACAGGTGTTAAAATTATTGCTGTAATTGAGCACAGCATTGTTTATTTTCGACCTAGTGAGTGAACAAAGTGCTCATCACTTTGATTTTGTCACGGCATACTATTATAATAGGTAAAATAAATCATTTTTGAGTGAATATTTCAGATAATGGCTGAATAATTACTTAAATGTAACATAAACTTGGAAGTATCATTGCTTCTGTGGTGGTATACTTATTGCAGGTACAGTTTTCAGTTTATATGGTATGTTGAGGATTGCATATACCAGGCATTGACGTGCTTGGCTGTTAGTCTGTTTATTCATGGCTTTGGGTTAGCAAAATGTCAGAGATAATTTTTTTGGATGTTATGCTCATGGGAGCATTCAGATATCCTTTGAAGTGTTCCACACTGTGGACACTTTGATTCATGATTGCATCCTCAATATTCTCTATGGTGTTTTGTGGTGTCAAAGAATTTGGTTTCAATAGTTTTGAAATTTCAGTTCTGAAAGGGGTGAGCCAAAGTTCGTTGTCTTTATGGAGAATGCATAACTTGATGGATGCCTCATGGGAGCATTCAGACGTCCTTTGAAGTGTTCCACACGGTGGACACTTTGTAGATATCGATGAGAGATCATCCAAACGTTTATACACACTCGACAGAAAGAAAATTTTGTCAACTTGCTTAAAAATTTGAAGTTTGGAACAGTTGTTTCTTTTTCAGGACAATCAAACATTTGTTTAGTAATATTTGACTGTTAAGTTTGTAAACTTTTATGATTTGTTGGTTTCCATTTAATCAGTGAGAGGGCTCCAAATGTGGAAGAGAATTGCACCAGTGTCATCTTACAGTATTCAATCTTTAAGATAAGGATTTTTCTGCGTTGATTTAATCATAACCTCTCTAGGTGTCTAGTCTCCCAAAGACAATGTTCCAGACATTTTCACCCTTTGATTTGGTTTAATTGTTGAGACCTGTCCTAAAGTAGCATCTGTACTTAGCATTGGTTAGTAATTTTCTCAGGTTTTGCATGTTCTTCATACTGAAATGAAATGTCAGAATTTGCACGGGAGGTATGCTGTTGACTGTTGGTTAAAGAGGCCGTCACTTTCATCCTCTTTGACAATAACATCTTTTAAAAGAAGTGGCGTTTTAGAATCCTGATAGAGTTTTATATGAGGATGTATAGAGGTGTTGAATCTTGCAATGCTTCTTACTTTGCTTGGAGCAGTTTGCAATTGGAAGTTGTACCACTGATGCTTTGTTTTTTTGGCTGTGTTGATTAGAGGTTGTGAAATATAGCCATTCGTTTTTTTCTTGGAAACAAGAGGGAAAAATTAAAAATAAAAGTAATATCGGGCTGTTAAAAGGATGTAGAGTTTCAAGATGCTTTCCACCCCCTAGAAAAGGGGGTGTACTTACCTTTAGTCACCTTAGGTGCTTTTCTTTCAATAGCTGCTTTAGTTTCTTTTACGGGGTGTTTGGTATCCTGAAGTTCTGATATGTTTTCAATGATACTATTCACAAGTTTGAATTCTGAAACACAACATTTGTTGCACATGAAAAAAGGAATAGCATAAGTAAAAAGTTACATTTAGGGGCCTGTAAAATTAACAAGAAAACAAATAAAATAAACTAGCAGCATTGTTTAAAAACCAGGCTGCATGCTGTTTGTTGAAAGTAGGGTTTGTTTGTGACTAAGTGTAGCAAAGTAAATGAACGTTGGCATGCAAGGGTGTGCTATTTCTTTATTGTGACAAGGTAGTGGATGGATATGTAGGTGACGTTTGCATGCAAACTATGTATGTAAATTGGAGAATGAATGATAATCGAAGTTAATTAAAGAGCAATTGAGATGTTATTCTTTTAGACCACTTTGTTGTTGGAAATAAATGTGGAAACTGCTGTTTTGGCACTTTTGTTTAGTCCTTGTTCTTCTATGATTCTAAAATGTAAGTTAGGCGACTTTTTGGGAGCCTGTAATCTTTCTAATGTTATGGGTTCAACAAAAACCTTGACTTTTATGAATTGTCATTGCTTAAGCTAATCTCAGTGGTAACTGCTGTTTTTCAGCAGAGAGCTCTAAAGTTTGAAACTTGAGTAATAAGACAAATTGCTACACATCTTGGAAATGACGAATTGAATTATCACACATATTGGAAGACATGGTGGTTGTTGTCCATTAGTATAAACAAAATGAACTAAAGTTCCTAATGCTCCATTACAGAGTCCAATCTCTGTCCAAATACTCATAGTCAGCATTAATCTGGCGCCTCTTGCAAGGTAAAGTACAGGCTCAAGTCCTACAACATCATAATAATAATAATAATAATAATAATAATAATAATAATAAAACTACTTATATAGCGCTTATCCAGTCCTGTTCTAAGCGCTTTACAAAAATATTAAAATATCACACGTTAAAATAATATTAAAAGTAAGTCTTAAGTTAACTGATGTCTAAGATATAGGCGTTTGACATGGATAAGAAAAGAGATCATACATTAAAGTAATTTTTAAAAAGATGAGTCTTAAGTTTACGTTTAAAAATATTTAAATTGTCACAAGAACGAATGTCATCAGGTAGTTTATTCCACAGTTCAGGAGCCGAAACAGCAAAAGCTCTATAGCCATAGGACTTGAGATTAAAGCTGACAGGAGTCAGACGCAATGTTGAAGACGAACGGAGCGTTCTTGAAGTTGAATAACGGCGTATTAGGTCTTGAATGTAGACAGGAGACTGCTGGTGAAGAGCTTTATGGGTGAGCAGAATTATTTTGAATTTAATTCGCTCAGAAATTGGAAGCCAGTGTAGGTCGAACAAAACAGGGGTGATGCGGTCGAATTTACGAGAGCTGGTAATAAGTCGAGCCGCTGCATTCTGCACTGATTGGAGCTTTTGGATAGCGTATTTGGGGACACCGTATAAAAGAGAGTTACAGTGTTCCAACTTGGAGGTTACAAAGGCGTGGACATCATCTGAAGATTGTGAGAACCATTAGAATGGCAGGCTTTAACAATGGCTACTGGTCCGTTTAAAGCTTTTAGTTTGTTAATTTTTAACTCTGTCACTTCCTCCTTGAAGTATGAAAGTTTTATGGAAGATTTCTCAAATTCGTGAACATTTGACACGTTTTGAGGGGTACTTTATCAGCCTCTGTTGAGTCTCTACTGCAATCTCTATTTAACAGTGGTATGAAATTTGACTGTTCTTTGTTGTTACCTTTGACTCTTTGATTGACTGTTAAGTTTACGACCTTGTTAAATTAGTTATACATTAAAAAACCCTGGGTTTGTTTCTCTGTCTTTGACTTTAAATGTTAAAGTACTTTGTCTCACACTGGAGGCAATTGTGCTATATCACCAAAAGAAGTACAGAATTACCACCAAATAGTATGTTTGCTTTGCTAATAGCTTGTTTACATCTACTATCTATCCAGCTAAACAGACCTTGGCCTACAAATGAATATTCATCAATTATTAAGTATTTCACACTTTCAAGGTTACTTTGAAGTTGTAGGAGAGCTGTTCTTTTGAGGTCATTGAGCCTTTTTGTGCCAATTAGTAGTCTAAGCAAAGAGTGTAATGTGATTCCATTGACATGCTGCTTTTTCAGTGTAAGCGAACACTGCAGTTTGTTGGACTTAAAATTCTTAATGCCTCAATGGCATAACTCTTGCCATAGCCTGCAATACCCTTAACAAGTTATAATAAAAGGTTTTCACAATTGTTGTTAAAATGGTTTTCTACAATTTTATAAGCTATCTGTTGTAGGTTGCTTAAGGTTGTGGTGTGTGAGTCATGTGAACATGTTTCACTGAGGGTTATAATGGTGTTTCATAGTGGTGACCCATGTGGGCATTGTACCTATTTCTTCAGTACTAAAGTGTTTTTTTGCTTCCTGCCAATAGCTGCAGGGAGGGATAAGAAGTTGTTCAAAGTCTTTTTTGTCCTGAATACTTAACTCTGCCATGAAAATCTACTCTTCTTTTTCCTCATGATTGTTGTCATCTAAAGAAGTTAGATTTTAAACTTCAGGCTTGACATAAGTGTTACAGCAAAGCGATGGTTATGTTCATCATTAATAATAGGAGGATATTTACTACTATATGGAGTAACAAAGAGTTGCAGGCATTGAGATAACTGAACTTGGATTTTTTCCTCAATGATTCTCGTAAACAAAAAGAAATACAACTAAATGGAATCAACTTATAGGAAAAAAACAATTATTAGTGATGTATAGATTCATAGTAATAGAGGTTAATATTCACCTAAACACCACAACAGACAGAGGCTTGTTTTGGAACCAGACAGTTTATTAGATGTATATAACCTACATAAATAACACACTAGACTAATACATGACAAAGATATTGGACGTATACACTAAACCAACAGTCCAAACCCAGAAAAGAAGGAGTGAAAATGCTAGTTAGTGTAGGTTGTAGTGGGTTATGTAGTAGGATGGATTTACAAAGCATGTTAGCAGAATGAGGGCGAACTGTTAAAGGCATGGTTAAAGAGATAAGAATGGTGTCAGAGCACCAATTGCTGAGAGCCCTAATCAGTTCAATGGGAACACCGGAAGCAAATGATATCAAAACTTAGGGTCAAAACCCAGCAATGCAAGATACCTGTCTATACCTCTATGTGTACAGAGGCCATGAGTGTGCAGAAAGGAAACAAATGATCCATAGCCAAAAACTTGTACAAGCTGGCGGTCCGACCAGAATGCCTAAGAACATGTGCTAGAACCTAAGGCTATAAAGTGAAGCGCGTTGATGATGGCTGCTGTTGGACATAATGGAGAGCATGGAATGTGGGAAAGTGGGATTTCTAGAACGTGCTCACGAATCTGAATGGTTTTGCTCATGCAAATATCTATGAGAACCAGCCAGGGGAAGATTTTAAAATCAGCCTTTGTGAGTTGCTTACGAGGGTCAAAGGAAGTCGGCGACATGGGTAAAAGGTGGGATTTCCGAAATATGCCAAATATGGCAACCAAACAAATAGCCTAGAAAGACAACTTGAAGCTACTTTCGAAATGAAGCCAATCATGGAGCTGTAAGAGCATAGAGGGTGATATGGGGTGTTTCTGGCTTTTCATTAGCCCTTTAGATTGATTGATACTGGTGATCTGAAACAGTAAAACAATAACAGATGAGGGCACTCGGGAAGGTGCAAAACCAAATCAGCGACAGTGTTACTAAAACCCTCGAGATAAGTCAGAGTTATATGATAATTGTGGAGCGCAGAAAGCCAGGAAAGGGCATGGAGCTCCTGCATAATAATTTTGTTGTTCGTAGTGCCCTTGTTGATCTGCATGGCTGCCTGTTATCACTGTTACTGTCGCCCCTAAAGTAACCACCTGCTGGGAGAGAGCACAAGTCAGTCATAACATTCACCGTTGGTTGGTCATGTCACCCTAAATAAAGTGCCTTTATATTGACTTAAAATGAGGATAAATTTAGTAAAGAAAGGTAACTGGAATATCCCTACTATAGTATTGCCCATGAGGGGATAAAAAAATTAATAACCTAAGGAATAAATCAGCAAAGATGTCTATGAAAGGTAAAATGGAAATAATTCCTTACATATCTGATCCACACAGTAAAACTTCCAAATAACAAACAAAACTAAACGAGACAAACTTATTTGAGGTAGTATTATTGCCTCCTATTCAAAAACATGCAATGGTGTGAAATACGAGCTATTCAGGGGAGTCTAAGAAACAAAGTGATGATGTAAATAAAACGCTAGAAAGAAAGTAACTGATTAAGAAACGTAACAGTAAGCTTTGACAGATTGCTTCTTACTTTTCCACTTTGGCACTAACTGTGTAGCATCATCAGTTAAAGGGAATTGATTTCAGCAAGTTATGTAAGTTTGATCTCTTGATCAAGATTGTTGCAGGCCATACTTGCATTGTCTTTCCATGGTTTATATTTGAGCAATTGATACTTTCAAAACAGCCAATAAGTTTAATTGTCTGGACTGGATGAGTAGGTTGGATAAGTCTTGACGATTACTGTTGTTGTTCTTTTTTTGAAGTTGAGAGTATTTGAAATTAAATATGGAAACAAACATGACAATTTCATTTTCTAATATTTTGCTGTCTATTTTACCTGTAAGATATTTTTTCACTCAGCATAGATGTCAAGAGTTGATTGAAGAGTACATGGTTGCTGATTACCTCCAGTGTTATTTCTACGAGATCCATCCAGTGATACATGTACAGCTTCATATGATGCGCTTATGCATTTTAAAGATAGCAAATGATACATAACTATAGTAGTCTTAGTCTTTATTTCCTCACAAGATAAAAAATACATATCTCGTGTCACAATATTTGAGTAAAAGGTATATATATCTAAGTTATTTACAATTAAAATACACTCGCATAGCTAAATTGTAGTTAAAAATTAAGCGATTAATGTAAGAGTTCTTGAATCTATCTGTATTAACTTTCGGATACTGACTTGTTTGATTCCTTAAATTGTAAATCGATTCTTTCTTCTTAATAATAATAATAATAAAACTACTTATATAGCGCTTATCCAGTCCTGTTCTAAGCGCTTTACAAAAATATTAAAATATCACACGTTAAAATAATATTAAAGTAAGTCTTAAGTTAACTGATGTCTAAGATATAGGCGTTTGACATGGATAAGAAAAGAGATCATACATTAAAGTAATTTTTAAAAAGATGAGTCTTAAGTTTACGTTTAAAAATATTTAAATTGTCACAAAAACGAATGTCATCAGGTAGTTTATTCCACAGTTCAGGAGCCGAAACAGCAAAAGCTCTATAGCCATAGGACTTGAGATTAAAGCTGACAGGAGTCAGACGCAATGTTGTGCTTTGAATAAAGGTAGAGAAGTTCAGTTTTGTCTTTGTTTAGCTTCAGCTTATTTAAGGCCATCCACTTATCTAGATCGGATAAGCAATTCTCGATTTTAGCAATGCTACTGGTTAATTCCAGATCATCGTTAACGGAAAAAGAAATGTACAACTGAGTATCATTGGCGTAGAAATGAAATTGCATGTCGTGAAAACGTAAAATGTCGGCAAGAGGAGCAGTGTAAAATAGGTAGAGGATCGGCCCAAGAACGGAGCCTTGAGGTACTCCACACTTGAGCTCACGAGATTGCGATTTCCTCCCATCGATTAGGACGACTTGTGTGCGGTTAGTGAGGTAGGAGCGGAACCAGTCAAGTGCAGTGCCACGTATTGAGAATTTAGAATTCAATCTTTTGAGCAGTATTACATGGTCAACAGTGTCAAATGCAGCGGAGAGATCTAGTAACAGGAGCATGACACAGTGGCGATTATCGATAGCAAGCAAAATGTCATTTTGAACACGGAGAAGGGCGGTTTCGCAGCTGTGGAATGATTTGTAGGCAGATTGTAGCGGCTCTGTGAGTTGGTAGAAGTCAAGATAAGCTTGAAGACGCACTGCCACAACCTTCTCAATGACTTTCGAGATAATCTTAAGGTTCGAAATAGGCCTAAAATTACTAAGAACTTCGTGGTCCAGGTTCGGTTTCTTGAGAAGAGGGGTTACAACAGCGTTTTTAAGGGACGAAGGTAGAAAACCAGATACCGGTGACAGGTTTACAATACTACAAATAGATGGTAGGAGCAGGTCCAGATGTTCTTTAAGTTACGTGGCTGGTAAAGGATCCAGACAGCAGGATTTCTGCACAACAGAGCGGGCAATCTTCGATAGTTCAAGATTTGAAGTAGGTGAGAAGTTGCTAAGCTCACAATTAGTGGTGGAAATATCCAGTGAGGAAAAGTAATCCGGAATTTCAGAAGGAGTAGGTATACTTCTAATACGGGTTATTTTATCTTCGAAGAAGGTAACAAATGTATTAGCGAGATCTTCAGCTGATGTGCTGGTTGGATAACTTTTCTCTGCTTTCCTGTGGAGGAGACGGTCGATTAATCGAAATAGGGCTTTGTTGTGGTTGCCAGCCTCTGAAATACGATTAGAGTAGTAATCCATTTTTGACTTAAAAATGGTGTTCTGAATAATAGTGCGTTGATTAGCGTAAAGTCGATAGTCTGATTCAAGTTTGGAGCGTCGCCAGCGCCTTTCAAACTTGCGGCAGGTTGTTTTCTGTTTTCTGATTTCCTCGCTGTACCAGGGAGCATTAGGTCGCAGATTGATGATTCTTGTGCGCAAAGGTGCATGTTTGTCTAAAATGGAAAGTAAAACCGAGTCATACTGGTCACAGAGTTCCGTAATTTCCTGAGATGGTGAGTTATATAAGGCGGAGGAACGAATATCACGCCGTAGGTTGTCTGGATCAATGGTACGCAGTTTACGTGATGAGATGGTGAGCTTAGCTTTAGGTGGTCTCTTGATAGCCAAGGTGCAAATAACAGCAAAGTGATCAGAGATAACTGGGTCGTTGATGGATAAATTTAAGACAGTTTCTTCGCCGGATCTTGTGATAATGAGGTCAAGGGCGTTGTTGTTTTTGTGCGTCGGGGTGTGGACATTACAGACTTCCAGATTGAAACAGCTTAAAAGGTCGAGAAACTTATTGGCAGTGTTGTCAGATGAATCGTTGATATGAAAATTGAAGTCACCGGCTAGAAGAAGACGGCCGGTAGAAGACACTAGCCTTTCCAGCAGTGAAGAAAAATCATCAAAAAAAGCAGCATGTGTAAGACCATTCTTGACAGAAATTGGAGGGCGGTAAATAACAATAATACGTATGATAGATGAGGCACCATGAAGCAGTACTTCTTTAAATTCAAAAGATTTAAACGGATCCGATTTAATTTGCTCCATTTTCAGATTTTTCCTGTAAAGTAGGCCAACACCTCCACCATTTCCATTAGGTCTTGGTATGTGAACAAAAGCATATCCGGTGGGACTGATATCACGAACGGTGTAGTCAGAGCAGTCATCGGGTTTAAGCCAGGTTTCAGTTAAAGCAAGAATGTCGATGTTTTTGTCAACCACAAAGTCTTTAATTTGTAGCGTTTTATTGATGATGGATCTTGCATTTAGAAGGCAGAAGTTTAGCGAATTTGCAGATGAAGAATTCAACGGGTGTCGTTTAATCGATACCAAGTTATTTAAATTAGGTCCAACAGATAATTTCACACTTGAAGGTTTACGAACATTCCATACAGAACTAATTTCTGTGATTTTGTGGAAACTATACGATTGCTTCATGGCCTTGCCTGCTCGAGTGCGACGCGTTCTGAGAATCCCTTGAATTTTCAGGAACTGGAAAAGGTCGGGTTGAAGTTTAGATTTAGCTCTCAAAACCAGCAATTGCTGCCGTGAATAATTAAGTTTAATGGGCGAGACAGTACTATGCAAATCTCTGTACGAAGAAGAAGCAGGTCGATGAAGCGAGGAATTTTCCGGGACGGGTCCGGGATTACAGTGAACATCCATGCATATGGTAAGATCGATGTCGAAGAAAGAATAAGGAAGGGCTAAAGTGATCAGTCCATGTTTCGTTGTCTTGGAGATTGCAAGCGAAAGTTTGTCGGATATAAATCCATGCGGTCGACGCTTGAAGTGAAAGGTAACGTTGAAGTAAAAGTTTATCAAACTATCCGGTGTAGGGTCGGCTGAAATCCAAAATCCAGCTTGTTTACGGTAGTAAATATCTTTAAAAGTGAATTTCCATTGACAATCCAAGCAAGTGAGGAAAGAAAACAACAAAAAGGCAAATAATATGCAGAGCTGTGAATTGTTACCGGCAGCCATGCTGGCGCATACATTAACTCTTCTTGGGTAATAGTCCCCTTAGAGGGTGTCGGTCTATGCCAGATACCTTACGAAATACTTTTCTATCCTGCTTTTCTAGAAGGTGCTTGATAGAAAAAGATTTAGATGTATATTTACGTTTGTAACATTAATAATAATATTAACTGTAATATTAACCCATGGACAGAAAGTTGACAAGTTTGTGGAATGCCGAAAACTGGCGTAAACACATTCGTACAGCTCTTCTTTCTGATAACTAGCTCCTTACATTTTTTGCTATTACTAGACATACAGTTCTTCTCTGACTATTCCATAAACGTTCTTACTATATCCACTGAGTTATCCTGTTCTTTCCACACAGGCGAAACAATACTAGTATCATCAGCATACTTAAACAGAATGTCCTTACCATTCAAACTTATCTCTAGATCATTCAGGAAAATGGTAAACAAATGGGGGCCGCTCACGCTTCCTTGCATGGTACCCTTATTAACATCTTTCCATTGCCCGACAAATCCATCATATGACAGTCTTTGCTTCCTACCCTCTAAAAAACTCAAAACAATTGGTAATGTAAGGACTCAA